GACTCGGCTTCAGCCTCTCTTTTGCCAAGCAAGGAAAACACATTGAACAGTCATTACAAGCATTGATGTATGCAGATGATATAGTATTAATATCCGACAACAAGGAAGATCTGCAGGGATTGATAGACATCTGTGGTAATGAGGTAGATAGGTTAAAATTGAAGTTCAACATAAAAAATCAGCAATCATGATTTTTAAAGATAACAAAGGCAGTGAGCATAGAATACAGGAAGTCACGCTAGAAAGAGTGCATAAATACAAATGTTTTGGCCTATGCATAAATAACGGGGCTGAGTATCTAAGGAAGCACGAAAGATACGTAATGACTAAGGGCACCAGGAGTGCGGCTGTAGTGAAAAATATGGCACTGCTGAACTACAATAGGTATGAAGTTGTGAGAGAGAATGGGAAAGGTGTCATGGTCCCGGGTTTGACGTTCGGCAGTGTGGTCTTGTGCATGAATTTTTAAGTTCAAGCAAGATTGAAAATTAAACAACCTGACATAGGTACACCTGTTTTGGGAGCAAACGGGAATACCACAAATCAGGGGGTACAGGGTGACATGGGATGGACATCGTTTTAATGCTGGGAAGCTAGCAGCAATATGGAATGTGAGGAGCGATTGAAAAAAATGGGACAGGAGAATAGGGCTAGAAGAGTTTTCAGCTACTTGTACATGAAGAATGTTGATACTAAATAGAGGAAGCGAGCTCGAAAATTTTCTAGCAAGTATTTAGACAACAGCAGAATACCAAGCCAAAAGGAAACATCGGTTTAGAAGAACTTGAAGGAAACAGAGAGGGACATGTGGAATATGGGAATGCCTACGAAATCATCACTAGAGACCTACCGAACCTTTAAGCAGGAAATTGTGAGGGAAAACATCTACAATATTTCTCGGGGTGGTTCTCTGCTCTTCAAGGCTGGAACGGGAGTATTTCGGGCCAAGACCCACCGAGCAGAATATGAAGGCACAGACACGGTGTGTAGTGCGTGTGGAAAGGAGCAGGAAGAGGCTTAAGATCTGATAATGTTCAGTAAAGGGCTCCGTCGTATAGTCGAAAATAATGGCAGAGAATTTTTCATAGCATTAGGGTTTAGGGACAGTGAAAGCAAAATAGACTTTAAACGGGTAGAAATAACCAGGAGGAGGCTGAGTGGTGGGTGCAATCGAGGTGCGAGTGAAATTCAATCCTTAAACACACAGTGATAGTACTTACTTTTATGGCTAGGTGGATTGAGCCACCACCTGATTTAAAGCACAGCCGGATCCATCCATCCATCCATCCATCCATCCATCCATCCATCCATCCATCCATCCATCCATCCATCCATCCATCCATCCATCCATCCATCCATCCATCCATCCATCCATCCATCCATCCATCCATCCATCCATCCATCCACTACTTCTGCTGGATTTGAAAGTGACGCCATCGCAAAAACACGACCGTGTAGCCTCTGAGACGGCAGTACACCTTACAATACTCTCAGAGGCTGCAAGGTTTAAAGCGGTCGCCGCAGCGATCGCTCGCAGCCGACACTATTTGATGGAGCGGAGGAAGAAAGAACTGGAGAAGGCCGGGAACGAGCTTTTTAGCTCAAGTCAAAGGCATCTTTCTAGAGAAGGCGTTGGCGCAAGCTTCACCGAGGGGAGTGCAGGCTCCCTGACTTACTCCGCAGCTCAACGCGACGGATATCTATCAAAAAGACGGAGATGACATCTCTGCAAAGCAAACTCCAGGAAAACAAGGCTGGAAGACGATTCATGCACGTAACAAGAAACATCGGCCTACAGACGCGGACATTACCCCTGGCACGCAAAAGGACGCCACATAAGCAGACACGGAGGACCCTGACAACAAACAGAAAATCAGCGCAGCCTCCAAGAAGCTGCACCTGCCCAAAGAAGACATCAATGTCATTATCCGACCGAAGGATGGCCTTCACAAAGCTCGATACAGATTTTCACAGATCGGCAACTGAATGCTGAGAGCAACTGAGCTGACGCCCGAAGATGTGTTGAAGGATTTCATTCGTATCAAGGACTGGCAGGCAGAACATCATTGTAGTGAGTACACCTGACATCGCAAGAGCAGGAAAACCCACTGCGATGAAGGCCTTCTTCATAGGAGACAGAACATACGAAGTCACCCCATACATAACGGTGCCGGAAAATACGTAGAAGCGAATCATCCGAAGGATACCGGACTACAATACCTCAGAAGGTACCGAGAAAAGCCTAGTGAACGAGAAGAACCCCGGCATATTGCACGCCAAGAAAATGGGTCAGGGTCGCACTGTTCACGTGATTATTGTATTCCAGGGCACGCTAGTACCACGTTACGTGTACTACATGAGTTGTGAGTACCGCTGCGTACTGTAGAAGAAGCAATATGAAACGTGTTACGCGTGCGGATGACTAGGCCACAGATCGAACGTTTGCTTACAGCCGCAAAAAATAAAAATAAAAAAAGGTGTCGTGGATGTGGCAGCGCCGAGCCCCCAGCCGATCATTGGTGCGAGCCTACAGGGACCATCTGACTGGTGACAGGAAATGCAAGACCAGGTTCAAGACCCTGTACTTATTCAAGAAACGACAGGGGGAGAAAGCTACGAGGTCAGCACAGGACAACGGTGATTACGACGCAGCAACTATGAAATATCATTTTTAAATGCGAAGCATTTCTTAGCGAACTTCGGTGATTTTGAGCGTATCTATCTATCTATCTATCTATCTATCTATCTATCTATCTATCTATCTATCTATCTATCTATCTATCTATCTATCTATCTATCTATCTATCTATCTATCTATCTATCTATCTATCTATCTATCTATCTATCTATCTATCTATCTATCTATCTATCTATCTATCTATCTATCTATCTATCTATCTATCTATCTATCTATCTATCTATCTATCTATCTATCTATCTATCTATCTATCTATCTATCTATCTATCTATCTATCTATCTATTCTACTACGACTTTTAGCTTTCCTGGCCGTTTGAATGATGGTATAGTTGCCAAACTTAGCATGGCAGAACATGACTAATGACGAGCATATTTGACTGGTCATAACATGAAAATCATGACAGGTATGTCATTATTGTCATGATTTACATTTCATGGGCTTGCTGCTCTTGCGGTGGTTTCGTTCACATGATATGTTGCAAAACTGGTATGGTATGACATGATTGCATGGCGAACTCAAGCGGAAGACCCTAACATGAAAATAATGACGTGCGTGTCATGTAACAACAAGACTACATGCTACGCTCATGATGCGCTCGCGACTGTTTTGCTAGCGTCCCATATACCAAATTTTGTATTACGGTGCGTGAAAGAATGACGAAGGTATGGTACTGGTGCAGACATGATAAACATGAGATGCGTGTCATGTAACAACATGACTACATGCTATGCTCATGATGCGCTCGCGGCCGTTTTGCTAGCTCAAAGATAGATACACTCAAAGTCGTCGAAGTTCGCTAAGAAACGCTTCGCATTTAAAACTTGGATCGAGGGCAGTCTCTACGGCTCTGCAGGGCACCCGAAGTGGGTGGGCTCGACGCCTTCTATTCAGCACAGCAGCCTGACTAATCATTTGAAGGAACGAAACACTGACAATGATGATGATTATATACATGTGATTATAATGTGTGACGAATGTTGTGAACGTTGTGCTCACAGTATAAGGGTGGAAAATCCGCCAACAATGTCTACTTGACGTTCTTGAACATGGAGCATCCTTTTGACCAGCATTTCGTAAAGTTGTCTTGGGTTGTTCGAGGTAGAAGCTGCCTACCTTAGCGCATACATGAATATGCTCCGTACGCTCTCCCCCCAACGAAAGCAGGGAGAAAGGTAAGTGGGAAATAATGGCCGCGGAAGGGGTGAGGGGTCGCTCCCGAATCGCTACCTCTCGGCGCTCGTTAGTGTCATGACACAGAACTTCACCACTCCCAGACCGCGGCCCCATTTCAAACCGCGTAGCTCCCCCCCCCCTTTCCAACTAAGGGCCATTCCACGCGCAAGCCGCACAGCCGCAACGCACGTGCTGGCACACCTTCCGCCATCAAGCGGAGGCTAAAAGAGTGTCGCGATTGGCTTATTTGTCTCCCGCTTGCGTGCGGCAGGGGTCCCGGCACGTGCGTTGCGGCTCTGCGGGTAGCACGTGGAACGGCCTCAAGAGCACGACGATAGTTATAGCGCGAGAACAAAATGACGACACAGAGACAAGAAGGGCACGAAAGTTCTCGCGCTATAACTATCGTCATGCCCTACCAACTAGCCCAAGCTACCACACCTCAAGAGCACCATGCGAAAAAGAAAGTCTGAGTGATCACAATCACTTTTGTGAAGACTCGTGCCTGTTTCCGTTTGCGTAGTCGGTGAAGCTCAGGGTACTTACGGTCACAGGCTGAGAGCTTGTAGGTTCGATTGGTGGTGATGGACCTTTTCTTGTTTCCTTGTGTTTTTTAGTCTGCCTTTTATGAACTCCATATTCATGACGAAAATATGTCAGTGATGTCTTGGTGAACCCCGACACAAAACATTCTCACGTTAAAAAAAAAAATGAGGCATGAGATTAACATCAAACGGATGGAGAGGAAGGACATGTAAATAGTGGTTGTCAGAAGTGAGGAACTCGTAATTTGAAGGTGATATATCTTCATGTCGCTAAGAAACCTAACTGGTTCGCGTTGTGTATGCACAATATGGTGAAAGTAACGTCAGAAAAGCAACTTACAAATTATTGTTCGGTGTCAGGGACCCACACGTCAAATAAAGTTAAGAAAAATGGCGAATTATGATTAGAACTTTGCATTAGTTTTTTCCTAGACACATCAACTCTTTACTTAATCGAAAAAAAATTACGCAGCTCACTGAAGAAAACGACTGTTACAGGCAGCAGCAAGTTAGTGTAAGATGTTTCTTGGCATATTAAATATTTTTCATGTTGTTTGATTACTAATTCTTGCTTTTTTTCAGGTGAATAAAAGTGTGAGTATGACTTCATACCGTGCATAAAACTCATGAGTTTTCTTAGTCGATCGTATTAAATGACACAAAGGAACCTTATTTGACGCAGATCTATTTTTACTCCTTAAGAACATAAAATTATTGTGACTATTATTCGCTATATCAGTATTGTTGTAGCCCTATATAACTACTGTGTAACGTTTTTTTCCGCCAAAATCTTGGCAGTTTTTTATCCTCTATGGAAGCGCCGCGGTGCGAAAATGAGCGCCAAGTTATATAAAAGCACAAAAGTATTTTTTTCCTCGACGCATGCAAGCCACTGCTATTTATATGCCGCAGCGCGTGCACACAGCGTATAGTCGCGAAACGCCTTTTTTATATCGAAGGCTAGTGCTTTGGCGACAATGGTTGTCCCAGCTCCTGCCGAAAAGGCAGACGGTAGCACACATGAAAAATCTGAATGAGGCTACGCCGCATCGTTGGAGGTGGCGACGGTGCGCTGGTCGTGTGTTTATAGAGGAGATCGTGGGAAATGTGCTTATTTCAGCTACGGGAAAGGGAGCACGGTGCATCCTAAATAAAGGAAGGGCTGAAGGGAGAGGAGTAGAGGCCGCCCTCTTGGCGAGATACGAGTGTCCCAAACCCCAAGCGAGGACCGCGTACGCTTGTCCTTACAAGGACACACAGTATGTGCCCGGAAGCCCTGCGAGGCCAACCCAGAAAGTCTTGCGTTGTAGTAGGACGCTCTAACTACATGAATCTATAGCTATGGTTCACGTTATGTTTGTGTGTTGTGAGAAGTTGCTTCACAGTTTATTTTCTGCCAGTCATAGGATGTCGCTGCGGCGGCACACTGCAGCTAAGTCCGAACATCACGTCTCTCGCCATCACGCTTGTCTTTAAAATGTGTTGAAGTTTTTAAAACTTGACACTCGACTAGTACTGCTTGCAAATTGTGCTTATTTTATACTCACTTCACTAATTTTTGCTATCACGAGTGCTACATATGTGTTTGACGCTTCTTATTTTTTCTATTTTTATGTAGTGCCGGCTTGGTTACTTGCGAGATAATAACACTGGCTGCCCCCCATGTTGCATTTGCCTCACCAGTCATGGTGACGGGTGGAATACTGGTCCCGGAATATGCGTGAAAATAAATTAGAAACAAGTGCACATCTGAAGAGTTGCCTTCAGTACAATAAACTATTACTGTAATTAATGGTCTGTTCTTCATCTTCTTCAAGCGAAGTTTCAGTTGATAGCTGCTACACTGTTGCTACATTAGGTAGTTAAATAGTACAGAACATACGTCCTTGTTTAGTACATGCTTCACTGCAAGAAGACGCTCTTTGACATGCATGCTACACCACACCTGAAGATAACATTCATATGGCACAAATGCCCCTTGTTGCGACTCCGGGTCCTGCGGGTCTCAGTTTGGTAGCGGGCCCCCGTCCTAAGACCCATCGTCGAACAAATCAGATGAGGTGTTCGTGAAAACGACAACAATTTATTTACATTGTTAGTAATTGAGAATTCAAAATGAGAACGAGAAGTCAAAAACTGTACATGAGAACCGTTGAACTGTAGAACTTTAAATACACGAAAGTCTTTGGCTTATATGGCGCCTCGTTGCCAACCCTGGGCACATTGTCCGCGGCTTTCGCCAATAGGGCGCTCCATGGTCTAGGTGCTCCACCCACGAAGGTGAGGAAAGACACCACACAATGCATGCGGAGAGGGCACAGTCCGCACGATGCCCAAATATGGTCACCAAAGCACTGCACCGATATTTTCGCACACGTCACCAAGTTTCGCACACGTCCGATGATTTTGGTTTCCAAGATTCTTCTGGCAGCTGGGTGAGGTTCGAAAAACCGGCTGCCAGTACACGTGTCAAACTTGCCTGACTGTTTGTGTAGGACAATGTAGTGGTGGGCCAGCATATCGTCAAAATATGCCACCACATTTAGCCGATCCTATGGAGAAAGGGGGGGAAGGAGGAGTAGTCAACTAATCCCTCGTCGCCGAGGTGGGCTCCGGCAAGGGCTGCAGCAGATAGTGCATTATCCTTTTCTTCACCCCCACATTCCATTCCTGGTTATTTGCTAGAAGCTTTGGCTTAGCTGCAGATATCCCGGGGCTCCGCTTGTCCTCGCAAGATGCAGCCACAACCAATTTGGCTTTAGCTTGCAGCCTGAACTGCAAATACCATGCTGGTTCCGAGATTTCCAGATCCTCGGTGACCTCGAAAATGGCCCAGCTGCCTCCTTGTCTGCCTCGAAAGCCTTGCTCGCAGCAAACACAATGGCCTTTCTTGAGTCGAGCTCACAATGGTTTCTCTTGGCTCATGCGTTTTCTTTGCGCGAACCAGTCCCGAACCCATCGTTCAGGTTTTGTCGAGAGAAAATCAACTTGTCTTGACGGCACACCCTTGCTTGGAATGCGTCGAAATATTTTCGTCCCGTTCACAAAGGCCGAAAAACTTCAATAATGATGACGGTCGTAACAGTCTCTCGCGCGGTGGGGTGAAGATCTCGATAGGCTTAGGTTTGCAGCCACATTTCGGAGAGATCAGCGCTGACGTCTGGTCTGGTGAAAACTGTCCTTGATGAAGTAGTGACCACCTGCTTCATTTTGGCTCAACAGACATCACATACGCATATGAAACACAACCACTCACCTAGTAAGCGCCAGAACATTCCGTCAAAACCCTCCAGGCATATTTATCCTTTTACAACTAATGAAAAGAAGTACACTAGTTATTCTGAATTTCTCTCCTACGTTTTAGTGAAACAGAATAACAGTACTGAAAGCACACCCACCTGAAACCTTTAATAGGGGTGTCTTAAATGTACGCACCATGACTTCAACGAACTCTAAAATGCAACAAAACAACAACAATACCTAATCAATGGTCCTCGTCTAGGCCAGAAGAAAATATTTCAGAATTCTCGAGAATGCTGTTCGCGTCAGGGACAGTGACTTAAAAGATCAGCGTTGCCATGGAGTATTCCTCTTTTTGAAACGTATGTCAAACGTATAATGTTGCACAACGAGGCTTGAACGCAGAAGGCGGCCATTCTTAGAGAATAAAGGCAGTAGCTCCGAGAGAAGACAATGCTCCACCTCGATAAAAATCACCTGGTAATCTAGCAAGCTAGTTTTCCGAGCTGCCTTCACTAGGCTTTTCCGCCACCTAAACAGGACACTTGCAAAACAAGGGAAAGCTTAAACGAAGAATCGACGCATGAGTTCTGTTTGCGCACAAAGAAGAACTTAAGTCTTCGCGCGAGCTCTCTGCCGTCGCTATAACCCATGGCTCAAACGTTACCGTTATTCACGTCTCTAGTAGGACACACCCTGACAGACCTAAATCTTTCAGATTAGATTCGACTGCATCTTATAACTGTCAAATTGTCGCTCCTACCCCGACTTTCAGCAACACGTAACGCTCCGCCTAAACTATCACATGATACCCAAGCATTCTATCAAAACCAAGGTGACAGAACTAAACCTTGCGTAATCGTCTTGTTTGGTTAATGTTACATTATCATGCCAGCCACTTGGATAAAGAGCGCGCTGGGTTCTTTCAGGTGCTTTAGCTCTATTCGCACTTATAGAGCACTGTAACATCTACCAAACGTACGCTTCCGTACCATCTAAAAATCTTCTAACGGCTCGTTTGTTTGTAAATGTTTACAAAAACAACAATATACCGCGTTTGGCACGAACCTTTTGAAACCAGTCTGTTTTCTTCTCAAACCTTACATACAAAGGACAACTTTATTTCAAAGGTTCAAAACTGGAAGAGTAATCAAATGATTTACTTCCAAAAACTCTGGGTCGCATTGTGCGAAAAGCTTGCACTTACCTTCACGCTTTCAGCCTTGCACGTGGCGGTCGTGTTCTCTGCAGCTTTCGCGATCGCCAGAGGCCACAATGAGCGCGAGCTCCTAGCCCAACCTTACAATCTCGCCTCAATCCTGATTCTGGCCGCTTTTTTTTTGCGACACCGAAGATTCCTGAAGTGCGGGGGAAAGATTCGCCATTGTCAAGTGGTGTTTGGTTCCACCCTGAATTGAGGACCAGCAGCCTTTCTTTTAGCAACCTGTCGACATAGTTGTCGATGCAAACCTGTTCTTTTTGACCGCAGCTCCCTTCTTGGGGACGCGCGTCCCTTTCCGCTACTTCTCTCTCGCCAATTTTGCCTAACCGTAGGCCTCAAAGTACGGTTTGTAGAATTTCCCGATCGCCAACCTTTCCGTTTCCGCTGTGGCGTGCTCTCTGCCTCCACCTTTTGTGGTGCCGAATGTCCTCGCTTCCTTCTTTTGCGGTGACGCTTACACACAACCTTTCTTTGGTTGTTACAAACTTCCCTGGTTGCGTCATCGGCAACCCTACAGTTCAGGTGTGCCTGTGCTCTACCCTTTCTGCAGCCTTTACCCTTCGGTTTCCCCGCTCCATTGCTCTGACGGGCTAGTTTATCTGCGCTACGCCTCACAAAACCAGACTCTGGGCCCTCCACAGATCTGAACTCTTGGAAATTAGCGTCCTGCTCGATTTCCGGGTAGTTTTTACCGTCTGGCCGATTGTTTACGTGCCGCTGCACGAGGCGTGTCTATAACCACACACAATCTCTGTTCATGCTGCTGGGATTAGACTTTTCCTCAAAACGATCCTCCACCGAACTTGTGCCCGTTTGTACACCTACGACAGCCTCGCAATGTACCTTCTCACCCTCTGAAACATTTTTTCACGCTATATGTAGGAAATTCTTTCGACAGTAGCTCGCCCTTGGTGGCAGTGCTGTCGGGTTTCAGTAGCGTTATGTCTTCGCTACATTTAGGACTACCTTCGTTGTTCTCTCTTTCAACATCCGAAAGGTCATTCCCTTGCTGAGGCTTGAGCGTGGTCTCCAGCTCACAAATCTGTTCAATGACCCAACCAGGGTGACTGGAACCAGCCTCGGTCTCACATGGAACACCTTTTGGACTTGCTACAGTTTGCATACCAGTTACCGTCCCGCTCTCTACATGCACTACCTTCGCACCTTCGGAGAGTCGCGTACTTTCCCTAGGCGCAATTTTACTAACAACGACCTGTTGCTCTTTTTTCTCCGCCGAAGGATCCCTTTGCATGTCGCACTGATAGAGACGCGTAACTTTATTGGTTGGTACCTCGCAAACAGCGGCTTTCTCGGTGATTTCACACTGCATCGTACTCGCCACTACATCGCACCTTTCGGGCTCTACACATACTAAACATATACACGACCAAAAACGCTTCCGAAGCTGTGCCCTAGTTATACGATTCATCCTTGCAACGTCTTCGTCTAATGCTAGCATTTTAGCCTCGTGTATACGTATCCTTTCGGCTTCTGCCTCTTCTCTCTGGGCCTCTGCCTCTCTTCTCTGGGCTTCTGCCTCTTCTCTCTGAGCTTCTTCCTCTTTTCTCCGGGCTTCTTCCTCTTTTCTCCGGGCTTCTGCCTGTTGAATGCTCTCGACATACACTGAGAGGTCCTCATCGCTTGTCATTGTCCGGACGATCCGCTCAATCAGTTCTATTCTGTTTGGGGAGTCTGACACATCGAGTTTCAACTCCTCTGCGATCGCTAGCAATACGGGTTTTCGCAGGGCTTTCAGATTCATGACTGCTTCCGATACCGTTCTCTGTTCCACAAATGATTCCTGTCTTGCAGCTAATTAACCCTGACAACAACGACATACCTAGTTTTCTGCCTTGCCTCAAGTTACCTGTTAACTTAGTCTGCAAAAGCTTCCTTAAGCTCTTACACGGAATCCTGTTCTGCCACTGTTAACCTTGCTGTAGCCCACAGATTATAGCTTAAACAAGCTATCTCACAATTATCTGTCCGACGCAAGTTATCTGTTAACCATATCACTAAAACAGCCCTTTCACCGTTAACCTAGCCGTCACCCACATACTATAGCCTAAACAAGCTATCTCACAATTATCTGCCCGACGCAAGTTATCTGTTAACCTCATGACTAAAATAGCTCTGTCACTGTTAACCTTGCCGTCACCCACAGACTATAGCTTAATCAAGCTATCTCACAATTTGCCTGACGCCAGTTACACAATCACCAAAAAAGCTATTCTTCCTACCAGCGTTTACACGCACATTAGTAAATGCCTGGTAAAATTTAACAGAGAAAGACGGCACTCAACCGGCTCGCAGTCGTACCTCCA